TCTTCCGATTCTCTCTCTCTCTCTCTTCTCCCCCTCATCCCACTGCGGGGGAGTGAGCGGGCAGCTGTGTGGGGCCGAGCTGCCTATCAGGGCTAAACCGCAACAGATATACCAGCATCAAGCCAGTGAAGCCACACAGCATTGGTGGGTCAGTACAATCCCCAGTTTGAAAAAGAAGTGTTAAGAGTTATGGCACTTGAGAGTAGATTAGTCAAACTGCACATCTCTCACTGGTAAACACATCATTCAAAGTGATTTTTCAGACAGTTCTTGTACTAGGGTTTGTTCTGCCCTCAAGCCAAACCCAGACCGTTCTGGGAGTACTCAGCTTAGACCAACAAGAGAAAGAACTTCAGCACTCAATATATAATTTGCCTTTGCTTTATTACAGCTTCGGGGAATCTCAAAGCATTAAGGGACAGAAGGGCATGTTACTTCTAACAGTCTTAGCAGTTAATTGTCACCTTTGTACAAAGATACAAACGGCTGCTTAAACGAAGACCACTTGCTTCCTCTGCTGTTTCCATAATCATTTATGTATCAGGCTTTGAGTCATGTCATTACCCAATTTAGAACCATCATTGTTCCCTCATCATGTTCCTGCACATCCTTCCTTCTCTTGAGAGCCTGATACATAAACGATCCAATTTTCTTCTCCCTTCCTCAGGATATGCCCTTGTTACACATCTGTGCAAAGTACTTCTCTTACGGTACCAGAAAAAACAGCTAGAGCAGAGTGAGAGTGAGGTAAGCACAGCCAGTTTCACTCTGCTGCTAGCAGCAAAGTGCTATATTTAGAGCAGCAGACACCAAAGCATGATCCTTCACTGCTGTGAAGGATATTCTGCAGTGAAGAGGGTTGTATGCATTTCTCTCTCCAACTTTGACCCTCCCTAGTGAGTCATAGCACAGATCACACATGTGGTGTTGAAGAGGTCAAATATTCCAACCCCTGGATTTCCAACGAGAATCCCAAGGATCTGGCAGCAGATGGTAAATGTCATTTGATGCAGACACTTGCACAGTAATTAGTTTGAGAGCAAGGGACAACTGAGACAGAACAAAGCAATCTTCCAGCATGGTCCTCAAGTAATAGTCCAGACAAGGCTGTTTATTTACTCTTTCAAAGGCTGGCACAAATAAAGGCTGGATGAAAGCCTGCTGGTTTAAGTTCAAGTTTGACATGATGGAACAGACTCTGACTGGTGGGAAAAAAAACTCAAGGAACACTGTCCATCACTGCCACATCAAGTAAGGGTATCTCTCAGTCCATCACCACTGACATGCAACATTCAGGGGCTACTCAGCACATTCCCTTTCCTGGACTACCAGCAAACAGCTCCGAAAAGATGAAAGTGCTTTTAACAACCTGTAGCAAAAATACATCCACTAGTCTCTTGAAAAGGCCTACTTTGCACCCACTTCTTAAGCAAACCACAGCCACTTTTTAAGAAAAAAATGACCACTTTTTTGCTACTTCCACCCTATAAGGGTTACATACAAATCACACTGATTCAGTAAAAATGCAATAGTGGTCCCCTGGATCAGGACAGTGAGGACGTATTACAACCTATGCTTTTCAGTGTCTCCCAGAAAATACCACTGAAAAATTTGTACTTCCAGCTATCATCCACAAAGTCCTCAATAACCAAGTGGCACCTGTCCACTCTGACAAACTGCAGCAGCTAGACAGCCAGAACACTTAAAATGAACCTTAACATATGCACAATTATACTGGATCAAACAATTATACTTTCCAAACCCACCGTCCTCTCTCTGGTAGTACCTATTACAGTGGATGCTTGAGGAAAGAATATGAGAACATGACAAATACAGGCCTACTGTTTCCTCTGCATACTCCTCCAGCTTCTAGCAGTCAGCAGTTTAAGGACTTCCTGAGCCAGATCTTCTATCTGGGCTGTAATGCTTATCAGCCCCTGATAAATCTATGCTCCACATCCCCCTTTTGGACATATTTAATTTTTTTAGCTCCAAAATGTCCCACAGCACGGTTCCAAACCTCGTGTTTCATGAAAAACAATACTTTTTTTTGTTTGTTTTAAACATTTCCTCAATGTCTCCTGCCTTCTTACACAATGATAATTAGCAAATAAATAACCCTATTCACTTTCTGTATGCCATTCATTAAGAAGTCTCCTCCATTTGATTCTCAGCAGTTGTTTCTTTTCTAACGTGAAAAATCTCTTTGTGCAGAAGCAGTTTTATAACCCCAAACTTTCTATGGAGAGAATAAAAGTCACACTCAAGAGGAAAACTTCCCAAGAGTGACACACAAACAAATTCAGACCATAACATTAAGATTTCTCGTTTTCACCTCTTGGATGAGATTCTGCCACAAATTCATCAAAGTTCTCCAAAACTGGACACACAAAGACATGCCAGATTCCACTGTTTGCACAGGCTTATCCTGTAAGGATTATTTCAGTTCCCCCCAGCTTCTTTATCATCTCGCTACATTTTCGCCGTAGCTAGCCTTTCAGGACCTTATTCCAGATCCAGAGCAGAGATGCAGAACTGCAAACAAGATGTTTTGACTGAGGTTCACACAGTACCTGCACAGAGGGCTAATGGTCACAATGGGGGATCTGTCTGTTCTCTATTACTACTTATGGTAATGGTAATTTCTGAAAACAAGCAACTGAGATCAGTTCGTATCAATCACGCAGCACAAGTGCCAACAGTGGATTTACTCTCCAAACCTCAGGCCACAAGCATGCCACTTTGTAGCTGCAGGGCCACAGACATTTCAGAGGGCTCCTTGTGTAACAGGAGCCAGAAACATATCAGCTTGCCAACTTTTCAAGGAAGCGTTTTGGGTCATCAGTACAGCATTGACAGGAAAGGCTTGGAAAAAATCTACAGTTTAGAAGCAGCTGAAATATTTCTCCTCTTCAAAAAGAACAGCACTGAATTATTTTGCTAAAAACTTTTAAAAGCAAGGCGCAGGATTTACAAGCAGCTGCAAGCAAGGCGGCCATCTGACTATCACAGGGAAGAAACCGAGATCTCACCATTCTGACATGTTTTCATCTGAGCCCTGTTTCTGTTCATCAGCTTCACACTCCATCCGCTCTTTCCTCCCCCCTTTGCTGAGGAAGGGCCTGTTCTCTCCTGATTCACAAAGGCCATGACCAGATGATGTCCACGGGGCATTTTCTTTCCAGCGTGAAAGACGCTGTTTCTTGGCTGACTTGAACCTGCAGCCCCTCTCGTAGTTCCACTCTGACACCCTGAGCTTTTGCTGGAGACTGGCAGCCACCTCTGATGTCACACGTTTGACTTTCCGTCGGCGCCTGAGAGGTCGACAGGGTGCGTTCTCTGTAAAGGAGTCTGACTCATGCCACGAGTGTTGCTTGCTCCGCAGGGTGGCACTGAGAGCTGGGTGTCGTTTGACCACTGCCATGTCATCAGAGTCACTGAAATTGGCTGTCAGCACCTCACGGCAATCCTTGACAGCTTCGTCCAAGCTTGATTCTGAGGCCTCGCTGTAGCAGCAGGCATGCTCTGCCTGATGCGTGAAGTCTGAGCGTCGTTTACGACCTCGTCTCTTGCGAAGCTGACGCCGCTGCTGCCGTGGGCTTAGGGCCATCTCTTCCCACAGCTCATCCAGCTTGTTTTGTTCTGAAGTCTGCTCTAAGGCTGAGGCCAAGTCATGCACCAGTTCGTCCATTGGCAATGCCTACTAACAATGACAACAAACAATTAGCACCAGACATAAATGCTGCTACCCACACATCACCAGACTACAGTATGTTATAGCATTTATAACATTAAGGAAGTTACACACTTACTTTGGAGTTGCCTGGGATAACCCAGTGCTGGACAACTGCCACTTCTCGGGCTAACGCTCACGCCTTCCTTTTGCAAGGGTTAAATCCCTCTTCTAACCATGGTAGCAGAGATCTTGCTACTGCGGCAGTTGGGTCAAGTGCTGTGTGTCTGGAAAGGCCTTAAGGTTGCATCTTTTGTGTTGAAGCAACATGCTTTATTACATATCTTAAGGGTATGAAAGCCCGCAACTAGCTCACTACCTGGTGTCGGTAAGCCACAGAGAAGGCTTAGTGTGCTCGGCAAATTGATTGACTCTTCCAAAAAGTAGACAAGCAGCAAAGCTGAGAGTAAAAGAGACAGTAAACACAGGTAGTTTGCAAGCCAGCATCACTTCAACAGCACAACAAGGCGCGCGGGACCCTGTGCTCCTTAGAACAGGGTGTAAGAGACCGAGCCCAAACTCCTACTGCCAAAAAAATCCCACCCCTTCCACCTCAGGGCTGTCAGGGAGCCAGTATCACAAGCCCTGGCCAAATCCCTCACCTCACAACCTCCCTCTCCCCACCCGTGCCTTGCAGGCGTGGGATTTCTCTCCCCCCCTCCTACCGCGCTCAGAAACACCCGCACCCCCACGCCGGTGAAGCACCTGCTGCTGGAAGGCCGCCTCCCTTTTAGTCCGGGCGCCCTCAGGGACCCGGCCATACCGCCTTCCCTCCTCTGAGAA